AAATTACCATTATCACTATATCAGTGAAAGTTTCCTCAAAGACACTTTTCTGGGCATGGTGGTCCTGTCCCCAAGAATAGCGTACCACTTTCCTAGCTCAAATTACGTGGGAAAGGCGCAGCTCGCTCACCGCGAAACCGCCGCCCCACCCACTGGCCAATAAAACGCCCAACTTTCCATTTCTGAAGGCTTCCTAGTTGTATACTTGTTCCTCTACTAGCGCTATCCATTTCGGGCAGCTGTGGGTTCGGCATCGGCTCGGCATGTGGGTTCCATGTTGCGCACTTCGGCCCGTTTATCTCTCTTTTTTTTCTCCTCGCTTCTGTGTTTCTCACCATCTTACCATTACTCTCTGAGCCGCGCAAGTCACCTTTTTCGCGAGGCGAATGTCATTTGCTTATGAAGTTAAATGACATTTATTATTATTGACCTATTTTGGACGCCCTCTGGTTCCAGCATCCCTGTTCAAGTTCGAATGTTCTTTTCAATTTGGAGCTTCGATTCAGTTCCCTTTCTTAAACCCGAATCGATGAGAGACACTAACCCATAATCATGTCGTTAAGGAAGAAGATGCCGAGCGCGATGCATCCTACGGTGTCGAGTATACGAGCGAAGTTCGCAGCAAAAAGGAAGGTTAGCTGTGCAAGTAGTGCTTCGATATTGTATGTTTACATCTGCTGCTTTAGCGACATCACTTTTAGATTGAAGAAGTGGATGATGATGGGAAGGATGAAGACTTCGAGAAAATGATTGACGATGAACGAAGGAAACAAGAACGCGAAAGAATGTGAATATAGTCTTTCGTTCTGATTATGTTTGCCTTCCTGATGGAATTTGGAAAGAAAACTTGTTGTAGGGAAGCTATGCAAGCTGAACTGAAAGCCATGCAAAAGGAGCACATCAAAGCGCTTCGTGGACCGAAACAGAAGACAAAGGAGGAAGGTATGGAAATAGATTACCACCAGTCCTGCGGCTTCATTTCATAACCAATTCCCTCCTTTTTGTGAGAAAATTTGTGATTCGTTGAAAAAGTGCAATCTGTCGCCCTTCGCACATTTCTGCTCGAC